TGATAGTTAAAACAAAAGCTATTTGTATCTTGTTCTCCTTTGTCTAGCTAAGCATTCATAATGCATGAACCGCTTTAGCTTTTTTAATTTTGTGGAAGCTCTGGAATTAGAAAATGTTCAAAAAAGCATTCCTTGAGGAAAACTTATTAGTTCAGTGGTGAAAAGCAGAAAAAATAAACAAAGATCGAATTTTAATTTGGAAAATGTGCAATCACAGATGATTATTTCTCAGTACACTTTTTTCCGTATCACCCAAAAAGTGATTGTTTCTACGGTAACAGTGAGAGTTCCGCCAACTATAAAATCCAATCATATTACTCGGGTTATATATTTCTATCTGCATGATTATCTCACTCCTGTTCTAGAAGCTGATACCATCTTCCTTTCAAACGACCTTCTGTGTCTTTCTAAGGACGAAAACAAATCAACTGCCGAAAATGAAGCATTTCTTCCATTGGAAGACCACATTCATTTGTAGACCTTATAAAATCCATTTGGACATGAACTGACAAACTTTGTTTGCAAACCGACCGTTTATAGTGAAGCAGTTCTTTCAGAGTTGAATTTGTAGACCAAAGGTCTAAAAATGTACGGTGGTGAAAATAACTCGTTCGCTACTTCTCTAATTGGACTGCAAAAATGGCAAGAGATGATATCCCTTAGCATGTGGAGTTACAGAATATCGGAGCGGTTCATTTTATCCATATTTTATGCGGTGGAGTTTATTACAGATTTCCCTCGTGAGTAGTATGGCTTGTATGAAAAAGCCATACTTCTTTCTATAGGTTAGCCATTTTAACCAACGAATTACCTGTGGAAAAATCATCTTGCGACTTTGAAAACGGTCTCATCGTCCATGCACAAAACAATACAATTCAAGTGAGTTTACAATTACAAATGGTTTATTATACCCCAAATCTCTTAAATATTCAGATACCGATAAACGTTTACCAACGTCCAAGGTTCAAAACATCAAAAAACCACCAACAGATCAAAACAGTAGTGCATAATGAAGATTCGGGAACATCTTACAGGAATTTTGCAATTCAAATTTGACAAGAGACGATTTATTGAAACCCTCTGATGACGTCCATTATTTGATGTTTTAAAGTATTTGGAAGTAACAAAAGATGGAGGTGACGTTAGTTTCGTGGCCGGTGAGGGTCAAACCGTCCTCATCACAGACCCTGTATCCTTGCGATCTCGATTAGATTCCCGCAATCGAAAGTTGCTTTTCCATTTGGCAGCCCTTCATTGATTGAGGCTTGCTTTCAGAAATATTACGCTACTTCTTATAAAAAATGAATATCTAAATCAATCCTCCTCATTATTATTATACTTTCGAGATTTTGGTCAAGGCAGTTGTAATGTACCTCCAAGTATTTTAATATTATTCCTCAACATTCAAAAGTTTAGTCTCACTTCCCATCCTCACAAACCGTGCACCATAAACAAGGGCAAGTGACTGTTTAATACATAATGCCTCACACGATTATTCTTGTCTCATGGACACAATGGAAGAAGCCCCACTCAACTGCCCACTGCATCACTGGAGATGATCGGAAACTAAGGTCTTGAGACTTGATGTGAGAAAATACTTCAGGATCCACTAAGTCCGAAAGCAGTAACGAACCGGCCAAAAGCTGACTCCTGCCTGCCACCAAAATGACCCGGCCCAGCATTTTAATCAAAGAGGGACTAATGACTTCTGATAAATTCAGTGTTTGGGCATTTCTGTTCAATGGACAAATGTTGTTTGACATTTACAACTGTTAAATCCTCAAAGGTTGGCTCGTGAAACTGTACCCCAGGACCAGCTGAAGAATAACCGGACACCTTTGCAGACAACAAGACTAGACCACGCAAGTTCAGATAAGCAGCGTGATGAGAAAGCATCACGGAAATGTTCGTGCTATTCGAGTATCCTTCATCGTGGATAAAACGAATGACGAAATCGCTTCGTCGGCCAAGAACGTACTTTTGTTAGGTGATATGCTCGCAAAAGGACACCATAGTACGAAATACATTGTATCCCATGACAGGACTGGACAGTACAATTATGAATTCCTAACAAACAGAACTAAAAGAAACTCCAACCATGCATCGATTATTGGAAAAATCCCAAGATCACGTGATTGATCTGATCATTTAAAATCAGTATGCAAGCAACAAGCAGACAGCACCCGCTGTCAGTACCTCGCACATGTTAGGGCCAATCAGGACACGAACGTAGCAAATACCTAATTCGTTCGTTCAACAGCCTTCACGAGCTGACTCCAAAATACTTGGTTGAAATTCTTCTTTTGTCTGAATATTCGGATCATTCTTTCCAGGGAAACGCGGTCCATCTGCCGCCCCCCCCCCTTCCCCACCCCTCCTCCACTGTGTCTGAAAACGATATTTTCATTTACTATTTCACCTCGATAAATATTTTGGGCTTTGATTTTAAGACAAGAAAGCTTCTTCAGCAAAGTTCTCAGCTGAGGTCGATGCAACTCAAACATATCAATGTCCCCAATCATTGAGCGAGATCGTTATTGAAAAGACAATAAACTGGACAAGTTGAAAATTCTTGCGGAAGCAACAGTTTACTCATGTTGTCGATTTCACAAGGTTATATTTCCAGTCCTCCAATCGGCGTTGTTCACTGAATCGTAAAATTTCGAACTGTGAGTATTTATACACGTGGTTGTCGTACACCTGCACATAACACCAGTCGTATCAGGACAAGTGATCCCACCTCTTTGGTCAAGCAATTAGAAGATTTTACACAAAGACCATTGCGGATCACGAACAACGTGCGCTTTAAAAAATGAACCAGTGGATCTCGTTTTTGGTCATTCAACTGATTGTATTATTACAAATTACAGCTAGCTTCAATTTGACTACAGCACCGTGTACAAACCATGTGGAGGATTTTTGTGGTACGTTAAAACCTTTGTGCCGTTCTGACATATGCTATCATTATCCAAGCATACAAGTATACGTTTCTGTGAAAAATTATGAATTTTCTCTTGTTCTAACAGGGACAGATCTAATTCCTCTGTTTAGAACAACTCTGAAGACCATAGCTGAATTGGTACCAATGTCCTCTCTCGAAAAATAGATGTGGAACCTGGTTTGCCTACCAACTTTCCTAGGTTCCCAGGCTCTTCTTCAGGGTACAGTTGGTTTTCAACAGATAAATGAGCAATACTCTTTAAGTTCATCAGACTTTCAACAATGCTTTCGTTTTTTGTTAGTAACTTAACATCCATATTTTAATTTCCCACTCACCTTTCAGTTGAATATATCGAAAGCGTTATCGAATCATATTGCAAACCAATGGCAAAGGACAGTTGCAGTACGGTTTGCGATTTTCTCCGTTTTAGTGATTTATCACAGAGAAGATTATTTATACAAACAAAATTATGGATTGAATATGTCATGAAAAATAATTCTGTATACTTGCCCGTGTGAATTTTTCAACGAATTCGATTCATTCAGTTGCTTCAGACCCCATACAAAACAACACGTTTTTAAACGTTAGTGTGATAGCAGTGTGCGTGTTCATCACCTCGAAGGTCAGAGGTCTAAATCTTGCTCGATCACTTTCATTGTACACAGTAATCAGCTATTGTCGTACTCGGAAGAACGGAATTTGTAACAGTTCTTCTCACCGAAGTTCAGAGTCGTGGTCGCCTGCTTTCCGTATTAGAACAGTGAGTAGTTGAAGAGAAGTGATATTTCCCTTAAACTCTGATTACGCCTAAGCATGAATTGGAAAGTGGACTAAATAGGCTTGACCTCCATGTACGGAATATGGTTTACCATTGTAAACATGACCTGACTAACGGCATAATAGATCAAAATTTGGATTTTGGTAAAACAGGTCCTCATTGCAAATGTTGTTCTTGACTAACGGAAAAAGTAACTTTCGAAGAATCATCTTGGGGTTCTAAAATTTGACTCTTCATCAATGCACTCTCCTCACGACTCAAATGAGATTAGGGTGATGGACCAGGTCATCGTTTGTTCATGCACGTTATTTCTAATCTGTTATTCCTTCAGATCCAGAATACCAACTATTTTTAAAGAAACTTTGCTAAATCTTTCGCAGAACATATCAATGTTTCAGCTATGGGACCCAGCGTGATGAGAAGTTGCACAGAAAAATGGTTGGAGATTTGTTGTAAGTTCGGAAAATTTTCATATTATCGTTATCAGTACTACGCTAAACTGTCTATATATATATATATATATATATATATATATATATCTGGATATGCAGAGACCTTCCCCTCTACAAGGAAACATAGTCAAACTCAAACCTCATTTCAGCCAAAGAAATTCACCGAAAATTTAGACAGAGTGAGATTTGAAAGACCGAGGGACCGGTTCGTGTTCGAACTGAACTGAGAAAGATCTTGCGTTTTCATTGACATTGTGACAGGCAAATCTGTAAACTGATCACTTGAGAAAAGCTATGGCAACCGTATTTGGAATTTGACTTCTGCCAAATGCATTAGCCCTCTGAAAATCAACACCCTCAGCATTTCAAGAGCATTGTTCATTTTGTGCTCCATCACCCACCACTTCACTCATATATATACGTATATATATATATATATATATATATATATATATATATATATATAAACAACAACATTTCCCCTCCTATCCTTCCTAACTACGCAACACCAACTTTGATGACCATCCAATCAAACTTTAGCACACAGACCTTGTTCATAATCTATGCATTTCTAACCTATAAATGTAACTGTATTAGCCACGAGGATGATGTTACCGAAAACGAGCTTGTTCGCTATTCGTGTTTTCTATATATAATGAAATGGGATTATTCAGTGGATATATATATATATATATAGATCCATTTATGTAAATCGAAAATTTAAAAGATTATCAAAGAAGATTGTGTGATTTGAAAATAATCTGTCTGGATATGGTTTAGCACACGAAAAAAAGAGAATTCTTTCTTGGTTACAGATGAATCCACCGAAATGTTATCAAAACACGAAGGGTTACACAACACATGCAATGAAGCGTACCAAAAACGTTGCGGGGAATACAGTAAGAAATACGTGGGCAAAACTAATTGCACGAAGTACCCTGATGGCAAATGCCGTAAGTATCATATGCTACACAGTCTTTTTTCTTAACTTGCCTATATAACTTGAATTTCGATATGTTTCAATAAGACAGTTGAGCTGGACCAATCAAATGTTCGTTATTGGTCTTAGTTCATTGTTCTTCCGCTATCATTTGCATTTGACAAAGCAAACCATTAGACAATAGGAAACGAACAATTAAAGAAGACAAGTCAGATCGTCCTCCATATGGTGAACGAGGACTGACTTCGATTTTGATGGAACCCTGACACTCGCCCCCAGCTAACAATGGTTGATTGATAGTGATATTTCTCGTTCCATGATTTGCAAAGCCTCATAACCCTCAAGCCTAAGTGCCATGAAAATGTCTTCCCTCCTAACTGTAGAGGGTTTGGTTCGAACAATTTGCATGTAATAATATATATATATATATATATATATATATATATATATATATATATATATATATATATATATAATGTCTATTTTTCCAAACTCGCCTGATTTGAGAACATTTGCCGATCAAGACGTGGCACAATCAGGGAGGAAGGGAGGAATGGAGTCTGATTCAATGCCATAATTTTCGGCGCAATACTGTCAGCTTGGCTACACAAAGCAGGTGACTTTCTTTGGAGTCCACAACGGGAGCGTTTACCTATCCACAGTTCAACCCTCAAGGCCACCGGACGAAAATTAGTGTCAGCAGCACAATAATGCTGAGGACTGATTTCTCAGTTCCTGCGCTCTATGATACAAACCGGATATCCTGGGTTCCCAGAACCCCTTCCGCCACAGATGCCGGTGACCATAGTGCTATGTGCTTCGAAAACCGTCGGATTTTGGTTTGGATCCAGGGTTTAATCATCTTTCTAAGACTGAATACTAGTCAACTCTGTCGAGAGCTCCACAGCTTCATCTCCTTCCTCAAGCTTATGTGAAAACACCTCTGCTACAAGAAAATAGAGCTCAAGACTTACTTGAAAGAGATTGCTTTAGACTTGCGGTCAACTGAGAGTATTCCGAGGGGCCTTTGGGCAAGTAACCACCCTTGAACTTAAGTTACCAACTACCTAACTGTGGTGAAGCATTTGAAGGCAATGATTTATTGAACAAATAGACACGGATGTCCATTTTTATCTGATTATCTTCCGCCTTAATTGTCTGTACAAAGTATTCTAAGCCCTGTATGTTAGGTAATTTACTGAACTCTTCGAATACCACAATGGAATGTGGCTCATGAATTGTGTTAGGTTTCCATCCTTCTTGAATTAAGAAGTATACACTGCTTTTGAAATGTCCGAAGGAGCATTTTGTGGCTACATCAAAACAAAGCCACTTAGTTCTCACCTTCGCAGAGATACGTTGCCTAGGAGATGTCGGAGTCGGAGTACTACGCAAGCGTCATCGCGCCTGTCAGAGAGCTTCTTAGATTATCGCCCCACTTTCTCTCGTAAACATATCCAGTGACGCGCAGCACACTTGTTCCAGAGTGGACATTTTACTGATCCTATAAACTGGACGCTGTTCACAACAGCCCGGGATTCTCAACTAAGGACTAAGTAAATACCGTATCACCGCATTCGAAGCCATAGATACCAAGTGTATAGATCCCGAATCACGCTGGGAGCAAAGCTTGATACAAGCTTTAATGTTGCCATGGCCACAAGGAAAGAGTGCTCGCTCCGCAATCTTTTGTACGGTACCACTTATTTCCACACAAATGTCACAGTTGTCCGTTGTTCATAAACATTCCATAACTAATCATTCGAAAGATTCTGCTGACTTGTTGAGTCTACACAATTCCATATACATCTACTTTACCATGCCTGCCTGTTCCAGACGCTTGTGATTTGTTCTGTTATTTGTGCGTTCAGTGTTTAACTAATTTTAGAAAGCAAATTTTGGGGATGCGTGAACCATGATGTTGAGTACGCTATTTTATCTTTCTAACCTTTCCCCTTGATCTCTACGGAACATACTTAAAATACTTGAATCTCAGACCACGTAGACAAGATAACGTTAGAAAGGCAGCGTAGCAGATTATTTTCTGTTGATTTAATACTTTACGGTGTAAGAAAAACCTTCAAATTTGCTGGAGTTAAACAGCCACATTTTACTTGAAAACAAGTCGATTAACCGTCAAACCAAAGATTTATAATGACCGACAATCAGAATGCACTTTTTTGCTTATTTGTTGCTGTTCCATTCATTTTCATGTCTTCATTGGAGGTAGCTGCCAAAAATATTACCAAACGACTCTCGAATGTTTTGAACGACTTAGGCAACGACCGGGATCAAGCAATAACTTGTCAGAATATAAAAATCAAAATAGCATGAAACTCTCCCCGGTTGTAAGGAAAAGCCGTGAACCGTTGTTGCTCATTTCGAAAATAAAATTGTTTTTCTAATAAGATACTTAATTATTTTTGGTGTAGCGAGCTTTTGTCTTTTCCTCCCATTTTGAAAATTGGAAACCACCGAAATGATCCTGCAAAAGCTTCTTAGGCGAAAATATACAACTGAAAGAAACATTAACAGAGCCCGAATTCAAACTCTGAGTATAAAAGAGGATATGTACTACTGGTCAGCTTAAACAGGAGCAAAACATGAGTTTGATGCTTCCGAGTGTAGGGTTGGTCGGATGACCTCAGGTTTGTACATGGAAAGTAGAGTTCAAAGGACATTCATCCAAACAAGAAGAAATTCTACCAGACCTTCAAACAAAAGAAGAAAACAGACGGGTATACTGAGTTTTCAAATAACATCAAATGGAGATTTATCAGTCGAAATGTTTGCAGATATGAGTAGATTTGATCTCGCAGTAGGCAAAATCTCGGTTTTGCGAATACCATCGAACAATAGAAAAGCCCATGTGGTTGCGAAAATGCGGCAGATTTCAACAGAAATATCGACAAAGATATTTCAGATTTGCTACTCGCGTGAACACTATGAAAATCTGTGTAGTTTCTACTTTGTGTTTCGTAATTTCCAAGCTCAAAGGTACTTTATTTTGCAATCAAAACACGATCACGTAGCATAATATCCATCGGAACTGCGTATGTGTCTGTGCAAACTCGCCAAACTACATACGACACATGTTTTGGGGTAACTAAATGATAACTCTATTGCCACTGCAATCGTGCATGCCAAAATGACTCCATGGTTTCCCATTATACCCGTACATTTTTCAAAATTAAGAGAACAACGATAACGAAACTGGGAAGGTTCCTCAAACGAAAATACACCGTTTGGATAAACAAACCAAATCAAAAAGAAATTCTAACAAAAGACCAAAACTAGGTGAGTGAGCGCTGTTAAAAGATAGCATTAGAATGAGTTGCTGGGTTGAATTCTATCGACATATGATTAAATTTTCTCTCACTGTAAACGAAAATTTGATTTCGCGAATATTGATGAAATAAATATATAGTACAAAGTGGAGTTTTATTGTATTACTTCGAGGAAAACTTCGGGATAAGTATTTGAGAATCACCTTCCATGCGAACATCAGAACAACCTGTGAAATAGATGTGGTTCGTGGTGGTCTGATAGATTATCTGACTTTATGGTCAGAATGCGATTACGTAGTTTAGTTTTGGTGCGTACCGTGTGTGCATTCATGAAGCTTTAGGGTTCAGCATTATTGAGGAATAATAACGAGTATCACACCACGTCCCGCATCTGCCACATTTAAAGATAATATTAGTGTATGAGCACACTCCAGTGGCTTGAACTCCCTTCGTGTAAAAACGGGAACCTTTGACTTCCCTGAAAATTCATGGGTTCAAGAATTTTACTGCACAATCTCTAGATTAATTGAGCATGTTACGAAAGATGAACGGTCTTACGCAAGTCAATAAACAACAGAATTCCGGCGATAACTAGCTAATCCCATTAGTCAAACTCACACACCCTGATCAGGACCAGAAATTCTTCAGACATCTACATGCACTCAGAGCTCGGGAATCCCAGACCACAAAAACGGAAAAAATACAGAATCACTTTTTTAGGATGTTTTGCTGGTAATACAACGCTGTACGGCATGCAGTAGGACCTATAAAGCCCTTAACTTTTACCACATCTTTCCATTTCAAATCAATAAAGAGTAACACATCCAAATTACCCTCACCCTCACTGACAACCTAAACCGTCCTTTTTAAAATATTTCCAGCTTGAGCATTCTTTTTCATTGTTGTTATTATTAAACTGCCGGAAACGCTTCTCAACAAATCGCAAATGTTTGGCACGATTTATTAATGCTCATAGTGAGAAAAAGGATTCATCACAAATCGCTGGACTAATTCATCCAACATCACCTGAAAACCTCTGTGGTCGTACTTGAGCGCGGCATATTTGGAGTATTCATCGGGCATTTTGAAGCTGAGGCAATGGTATTTTCACTCAAAAACTACTGCCCATACTCACTGTCTTAAAGTTAATTTGGTAATTGGGTACAGCTGCACCAACTTGATGCGCATTCTTTTGGACCACTGGTTGATATCTCTGTTGCCGTTATGACCACGCATTGTATATACTCTATACCAAAATGACTTCATATTTCGCCGTTTTCCCCTCACTTTTCATTAAGTAAAAACCAGGAAAAATGCAACCGAAAACTCTTCTTTAACAAGGATGAGCAATTTGGGAAAAGAAATCAATTTTAAAATATCATCTAAGAAAAGACGAACGATAGGTGAGAGCAAACATTTTGTAATTAACGTCAGAAGTAAATGGACTGTCTCTCGCTGAAGACGAAATTTCCGATTTGTGATTATCATTGATAGATCGAGTTGCACACGAGGGTGTGGTATAAAATGACCGTGTTTAATTTCATTGCAAAACAAAGACCTCCCGTAAGATATGTGAAGTCCATCCCAACCATATTCCCGCACGTTATTTCATAGCAGGATGATGTACTTCCCAAATAGGATACGTGATTCACAATATTTACTTTTGAGAGTTCCACCATGGTATGATCAAGTCGTCTCATATCAGTCCCCAGCACTACTAATATCTCGACTACGTTGACGTACTGAGATTTTGTATACATAATTTGGCGTTTGTGCAAAATATTGCCTAATCTGCTCACTTAAATCCGTAAAACTGGATATTGCATTCACTGAGTGCAGTTAGACCCAAGAATTTTCCAACTTTCCTTTTCAGTATTTCAGTTGTTCACAGGCGCCCATTTTTTGGTGCGACTGGGGAAATCACAAAAGTTCTTGTATATATGACGGAAACCAAGGCTGATCGAATGAGCTTTCAGAATATGTTTGTGAGCCTCGGAAAGATGACCTATAAATTTGTTAACTTATTTCAGCATAACATGTTGGAGTCGGAAACGGAAATGCGTGCTCCTTCTTCAGTTTTAATCTGGTGGCTTTTCGTGATTTTTCTCAGGGCAATGAAGTTTATTTACTTGAATTTTTAGTGTATAAGACTGTCGCCCCGTTACTGAGTGACTCGTGGATAAGCAAACACCGAGTCCCAAGGCGGAAGGCACAAGTTCGCTTTAATACAAGTACTGTAAGACAAATTATCAAAAAAATATTACCATACCTCAAATCGCGTATGAGCCCTTAACAGAATCAAGAAAGTCAAAGAGGGCTTCAAAACGCTCGGGCAACAATGGACACAAAAAGCTTCAGATAGCAATGCAGGAGTGAGTCAAGTAGTTCACAAAATAAGTCCTCGATTATGGGGAAAATTTTGACCACTCAACGGCCAGACGTAATTGTCTAAGGGAACATATATATACAGGTGTGATGATGAACAAATGGAATAGCCTGGCTATGAGAAAATAGTATGATCATAACGGGATGGCCAAAGTTCAGTCATTCACGCTGATAAGCCAAAGAGAGAGAGAGAGAGAGAGAGAGAGAGAGAGAGAGAGAATTATACCCAGCCAGTGGAGCCCGGTCAAATAACCCAGGTAGTCATGAGCCAATAACAGAATGGGATGGGCATCAACCGACACATGATTGGGGAAGAGTGAAGGGAGACAACAACTCCAACACAGTCGTCGTCGAAACCAGTAGGTCAGTACATATAGGAATACTACGATGACGAAGTTTACGTAAGCAAATAAAATCTGTTAAGAATCAGGTTGCAGTATGCAAAGATCAGTGTTCCTCCGAGGTAGGTTGCCCGTGTTTGGTCCAAAACAATGAAAAAGGAAAATTCCATGGGTGCAAAGATTCTGTAAGTGCATTACAGGGATCCTACACTTACTTTGGTTGAACAAACTGTCAACAACCTGCTCACTACAAGGGTTTATTAAGAGAAGACAAGCTCAACAAATGAACTCAAGACAGATGCAACTTAAAGTCAATCAACAATGGTCATGAAAACAAGAAAAATTAACTATCACACTGGCTTGTTTGGGAGGGTATGGTGGCCCTCGTAGAAACCAAAGGTTTAAGCTCATGGGATCCAAAGAAACCTTTTGGTAAGGGCGACGCACAAAGTTATAATGAATAGCATGGGATCTGAACAAAAACAGTGTGAAGGGGTTTCCTGATATGGCAAACCAAAGGCTTGAGCAAGATCATGATGCCAAACACGGTATCAGGTGCAATGTAATAATTCACGTTTCAATACCGCCAATTTTATCAAAGGAAATCGTGGAAGTACCCATAGATGGTGTCATCTGCATTGTTAGGAAACATTAGCATTGTACATAAGTAGAACCTCCACGGAGATTCGAACCTTGAGCAAACCATTATGAGTCGTACAGCTTAACTCTAGTCTATCCGGAATGATTCTCAGCCGTTTGTTTAACCTATGTTCATAAAGTAGCCAAGGCTTTTATTTGGCTGGAACACTTTTCATTAAATTTGGCCTCGAAGGAAAGTTTATCCACCTTTGAACTCGGTCGCTATGCGAGCAACAGATTGTTCTCATGTAAAAGCCAGGGAGTTATAGAGAGCAGTTGACTTAAAACCAGCAATTTGGACCCCGTCGGATATATCCGACACATCTTTTGAGCCGTTTTCTGGTCACATCTGAGAGCTTTACCAATATACCACTCATACTTTCGGTTTTTATTCTTGATTTTTCTTCTTTCCTGCCCGTTTATAAAGTCGGATCCAAAGGGAACAAAACTAGGAAGAGCCCTGAGGAAGAAACATACAACTTGCCCAAACAAACTAATGTCAAAAGAGTTTCTAACAGAAAAAGAAAAGTTGGTGAGCGTATGATATTTGCAAATAGCATCAAATTGAGATATTTAAGTTACATTTTATCCATATTTAGTTGCAACCTTCGTCACTCTAAGCAAACTGTCCATCTTTCTAAAATCACATAAAGATATAATTACCACATTTGGTTGTAAAGATGCGGCACATTTCGAGAGAAACATTGGCATTGATATTCGCCCTCTGCCTCCCGCACGGACATCATGACCATCGGTGGGATTTTTACTGTGTGCTTCGTAATTGGCTCGTGTATTGTTGGTTTAATTTGCGATCAGAATACGATCACCTAGTATAGCTTCCATGTGAATTGTTTATGCCTCCGAGAAACCCCAAAAGTCCAGCACCATTTCTTACGGGAGTATTGTGGAGTATCAGATACGACTGCGACTGTAACACGTTCACATATTTTAGTAAACCAGAGTCAACTGCTCCATCACAATCAAACGAAGGTTCAGTATCACTGAACATTCGTGGGTTTTGGGTTCCTTCAAACAACCCTGAGATACTCTGAGAAGCCTTCAATAAGTGATCCGTCGTACTGTGTGTCACGATGGATCAGTTATCTAACGGTGACTAGTAGACTGGATTGACAAAACTCACACAATCTAACCAGATCCAGAAACCGGCTTACTACAGAATTATCCCGGTTCGGAGTTGGATCCGACAATGCACACTCCGATTTGACAGTTTACATCCATCGAATCGAACGTGAGATTTTAAAGCTGTCCAGCATCCGGCCAAATAGATAATAGTCCATTTCTAATTCACAAACGCCTTCATTTGTGTACGGAGTTTGCAACCGGGTGCGATTTTTACCTCGAAATGGAGTGCGAGGACAATCAAGATTTTTCTTTCCTCTAGATACTGATAGCACTGACATTGTATTTAAATCCCAATGATCGTATCTGAGTGAAGCCATGCTGTTCATTGCCGTTTGGTACAATTTATAATGGATATGCTGATGGAAATGTTTACTTTCATACAGGAGATTTAAAAGTCAACTAGATGCCACCCAAATGATAAATATGCATAACAAGTGATTTGTCTCATCCAAAAACCTCGAACTGTTGGGTTCGAAATAAGCCACCGTTGCTCGTTTCCTTATTCGACAGTTTTTGATAAGGTAGCTTTCGATTCTCGGAGTGATGTTACATCACTGCATTTCAGGTGAACAAGGAACTAACTGATAACTTTGTTCTGTCGGTTGTTTAGCAATACCAATGTGCGATTTACTTGAATACACACGTAACAGACATAAGTGTATGAATAACTGCTCGTCCTTTCCTTTGTGAATGCATGCACAGACAACAAAACAAAGTCCATTGTTCAAAAAGTGATCTTTCAAAATCCATCGGTTTACACTAGACCATCAAGAAGAAAACACATCGAAGTCGACTGCGAAGAAGCAGCTACAATTGCTTGTCGTAAGTCACCATTTCTGTTCTCTTTAGGATTAATGAACATACTGGTTTGGAAAACTCCTGCGTTGAACATTCCAAGAGATCATAGCAGTTATGAAGCGATTCTGCTATTCATCTGTGATTTTGAGCTCGAGAAATCTTTTCTCCTGTAGCACTGGCAAAATGGTTGAAATTTATCAAATTTCCAAATCGTGAGAAATTCGTTTCACTTTCAGCAAACAGATTAGGCTAGTCTACAGATTTCGGTGTATACGTTTCTAAAAACAATCAGAATTTGATTGGCAAATATGCAGAAAGCCGACGACAGTGATGGTTATTTCGAAAATTCAATCACCTCGAATAAACAAAAGTATTTTCAGGTAGCTTGCGCGAATCAAATTACGAACAGCACAGATTCATTCACTTTTGTTCACATCATATCTACATAGTAGTCCACCCACGGCATCATTCGAAAGGTATTTTACAAAGTAACTTTCCTGCCTTCTTTCTGTCATTCCTTTTATTGAATCCACCGAAAACAACACAGAGATTCCCTCATGTGATTGACCGTCGAGCGATTCGCACCGTTATATTTCATTGATTCCCAATTGAGTCTTTCGGGAGAGATACTGGGAACAAAGGCAAACTTATCGGGTAGAGTTGTTGAATCAGCTCAGAGGTCGACGCATAATTCAAACACCAAGACTTATGAGTCCTGAAAATCTTGTTTCAGTTGAACGTTTTCTCGGCTACTATCTAGTTATTGCCCTAGTTAAGTGAAACGTCCTTGTCGAGCTAGCATATTCTTGTATGAAGGGGTCTGTAATCTGCTCGTGTGCCATAGCCACACTGAACCCATGCTTTGAATCAGATTGACCATTGAATTTGAAAAACCAGATGAGATAGGGCATTAAAAAAACTGAAAGCAAATAGCTTTTGCAAAGTTATCCGCAAGTTATTTACCCGCTATTTTGGTTCGTCTAGATGTCCGAGTTTTATAATTACTGGTTCCCATGATTTTGTTCACAGTTCAGTACATCAGAATAATGCCGCCGGACATTATGGTTTGGAATGCGTGCAACGAATTCCTACTAACGTATTGCCGTACGTCCCCGGTTTCTTCATATGAATGCTACCTGAACATTTTTTTCTGAGAACTCATTTCTTGGAATCAACGGGTACTGGTAAATTATCCTCAACCCTTAATTACGGTGCTCCACTTTTCTAAGGGGCTCGTTACTTGTTGCTTTGATGAAATATTTGTTAAATTGCTCATGAATTCCGATCAACCGTTTCCTCTTTTTCGTGTTTTAAAGATTACTACAAGGAAGATGGCTGAAAGAAGTTTCCCATATTCTGATCAACGATATTTCATTCTATAAACATCCGTCAGCACCTAGTCACGCACGACTGATACCAACGTTGTTCTTCTTCATACACCTGCCAGAATATATTCGTATATGCTCGTTTATTGTTTTTTTCTGACGTGAAGATTTGGGACTAACGACTCCAAGGGGACGTATTCAGATTACCACATTCAAATGAAAAATCTTCTATTGATTGGTATCTAATCCCTTTTAGAGATTTCAGACTACGATCGTACTGTTGGGATGCCTGCATTTGCGTACCGGAGTTTTCTATCAACCAAATCCAATCACTTGCACTTTATACTTTGTGGAACGTGGAATACCTTCTTTTAAATGTCTTCAGGCATAAACTCATACAATATACTCAGTGTAGTTGAATATTTCATCAATATCCTGGAAGTATGACAATGACAAACACCATCCAAATCAACATCAAACAAAGAAAATCAAACACTCGTTTTCCTGCGATTTGATTCGGTTGGCCGATTTCATCTGACTTGAGAGAAGAGGATCTAACGAAAATATTTTGTTAACAAATTATCAGCCGGATAAACTGCATGGGGAAAATTTTGCGTTCTCGAAAGTCTGATGAAAGACGGCACGTGCTTGCATGAGGAAAAAGATTTGCAAATGATTGCAGAAGGTCTGATTGTGAAGTCGAGTAGTTTATCTTTCGCGCTTAGGCTCCATGATGAACTTCAACAAGCAAGTCACAAGACAAACTCCGCCAGATGAGTTCCTTTTGGAAAATCTTACCGATTTCGCACTTAGAACTTGAAGCATCCAAAGCAATTATATGAAACCGGGTAATCAATTAGAGCCAGGATGGGCTAAGTATGCAGGTCACACGCTTTTGGTCTCATTGAGCCTGCTTACAAGAGCGATCTTTAATAGTCTCAGTATCCACAATCGGTGTTCTGGACATTATTGGTGTTCTATTCTCAAGTTCGATTCAGGTCTATATATATATTGTAAATTACTTTTTGTAATTTGTATTTTTGACGACATCTTCGCTTGTCTTACTCGTGAGTAGCGTGTATATCCCTCACGAACCTCGAATACTTGTGATCCAATTCCCTGTTTTTACTGTACTGACAGTTCAAGTTTACCCCTTTCCGACGTATGGTGCGTGAACATTTTACGTTATGTTCCCGACTCGATTGTTCTATGATTGTACATTCCCCTTGTAAGAAAAATTTGCAGAACGTTACACTTACGCTTCTTGACCCACTGTCTGTACCGCAACCGTGCTGCGCTACAGTTTCGCATGACTCCTTGCTGAATGGACCGTTTATGACCGCACTGTCCCGATTTTTCGGATAACTTTCTGTACTGTTGCCCTTGGTTGCTCACCTGGCTGTAAGTCATTGCATTTATGTATTGTTATGTATTGCATTGTTTAGAACCACGAAATTACGATAAACACGGTTATACATTTGGAATTTGTTCTGCTGCCCGTAGCCGTGTACAGCCCATATCGTGCGTAAAGCTAGGGAGACCACGTTTTCTGTTATATTGAAAGTTCAAGTAATCGGGATAGTTTCTACAGTTAGCCAGTAACCAATATTGTCTGGAATGAAGTCATTTACGTCCAGTATACAGTCATTTAATGATGAATTGCCTGGTTTGCGGAAAAACTGTTGGGAGGCTCAGTCAGCAAATCGCAGGGAGGCTCATCCAGCAGACCGCATGGAGGCTCATTCAGCAAATCGCATGGAGGCTCATTCAGCAAACCACATGGAAGCTTATTCAGTTAACCGCATGAAGGCTCATTCAGCAAACCGCAAGGAGGCTCATTCAGCAAATCGCTGGGAGGCTCATTCAGTAAACCGCTGGGAGGCTCATTCAGCAAACCGCAATGAGGCTCATTCAGCAAACCGCATGGAGGCTCATCCAGCAAACCGCATGGAGACTCATTCAGTTAACCGCATGGAGGCTCATCCAGCAAACCGCATGGAGGCTCATTCAGCAAACCACATGGAGGCTCATTCAGTAAACCGCTGGGAGGCTCATTCAGCAAACCGCACGGAGGCTTATTCAGTTAACCGCATGGAGGCTCATCCAGCAAACCGCAGAGAGGCTCAGTCAGCAAATGGTTCAACCTCCAGAGTAGAGCTACAACGTGAACTGCGACTGGCCAGGTTGAAGATTAAGCAATTGGAGCTGGAGGCCGAGGCTGCCAAACGCATAAACGAAGTCAAGGATGAAATGGTCAAAGAATTGTCCGACGATAACTGCAGTTTTGGATCGGAGCCTATACTGCCACCTACGCCACCTCGCAGTGAAAGGCTGAAAATCGTTCACGATTATGTCATGTCCTTACCAGGGTCGAAAACAAGGCAGGAAGACCAAATTACACTGAACGGACCGGGAATACGTGTTCTGCCCGCTAAATCCAGGGAATTCGACCACGTCAGCGAGACCGCCAGGCTGTTGCAAG